TGCAACTAGATGAGTTAACACTGGGTCCAGGCTACTAGGTCACACCCGCTACGACTCGTCGAGTCATTCCATGGACTCATCGAGTTGGCCCCATCGGATTTCTCATTTAGCCACCTGAGGTTAGATTTGTGACTCTAGCTTATAGATGCAACCTCCTAGCATCCAAAAGTCACGTAAAGGTCCAGACTTTATGCTCATGCATCACATATCTAGCTCTATTTGAAAAAAAATGACCTTAATGATGTTTTAGGCTCAATACTCTTATGTGACTGCATAAAGTTAGGATCATGGGACTCTCTGGACCTCTCAAGGTCCCGATCTGATGTCTAAGCCTCAAAGGGACTTCACATACTTCATAACTCAACTTAAAAGAGGGTTTAAGAAACCCTAAATTCATGAGATCTACTAACCATACGAAAATAGGTATAGATTTATACCTTAAACAACAACTTTGAATGGAATAGCAACAGATCCGAGCCCCTCAAGTCGATCTTGCCTGAACAACCTCCTTCTTCCTTGCAAGAATGCACCAAGATGATGAAATTAGCCCCCCCCCCCCCCTTCTCTATGCTCCCTGGATCAAATAGGGTCTCTCCAGGGAAAGTGTGGCTTCAAATGAAGGCCATAAGAGCCTTTAAATAGGTCACAAAACTGGACAATTAGGGTTTTCCTCCGCAACGCTGACTCGGTGAGTCAGATACCCGACTCGTCGAGTCCATCCATTTAACATGTCACCAACTCGCGACCCTACTCGACGAGTTGAGGCACCAGCTCGTCGAGTCCCCCAAGCAAACTCATACTTGCATATAGAAATGTTATACCTCAGAAATCAGGATATTACAATGCTTTGTGGATTTCCTCTTCATATTTAACCCACATGAGTGAAGGTTTTATCTTATCTTTAAAATTTAACCAAATGGTCGAATGTTTTTTTGCTATAATATCCTTATTTGTGGCTTTGAGGGTTTAATCTTCAACTTCAGGATTTTGCATTGTAGGTTTGGTCTTCATCTCCACGAAAGTTTTTTTGTTCCAAAAAGGAATATGGGTTGTGAAATCAGAGATGAATGTTGGTTATTCTTGTAATTGGAGATGAACATTTGTACAAATGATTAACAAAAAGGGTCTTGAAAAGCTTCATTTTTTTCTCACAAAGGTTTAAGGACAATTTTTTTTGTTTGATTTTTGATTTATCTGGTTTTCAATTTGCTTTCATATCTTCATGGGTTACCGGTCAAATTTGTTCGCATGTTGAATGTTAAAAATGAGATTGTGAGTTAGGTTCTTGGCTACCAACTTTTATTCGTGTAATGTCTCTCCTTTTTTGAAAAAGAAATTGAAAACACAAAGTCTTTGGTACATAATATAGATGCAAATGGAAGTACAATGCTGAAATTGGCTGGTCACTATTGTTTTGGATGAAGATTTTAGTTGCAAATTATTTGTGAAATGCAAATAGTAAAGTACAATGATGAAATGATACATAACAAACATATGATACATGGTATATATGAAACTTGTTTAATGGTAAAGTACAATGTTGAAATTGGCTAAATGTAGCTACAAATGGTACATAATATAGATGCAAATGGTATGGATAAAAAAACAAAATATAAACATAACAAAAATAACAAACATATTATAACCATAATGGGGGGATTCGTTACACCATATTTATGTACCATTACAAAAGATCAACTAACATGTAACATCCATCCATTTGTAGGAAATTGCCTAAAATATATCCCAAAAAGGCAACCCAAAAGGTACATGAGAACAACTGGATGAAAAGTGCACTTAGTGGGTGTATAAACTAAGATGTACTAAATGTACCAAAAATGGCTTCCTATGCAAATGCACAAGTATACCATCCCCACCTAAATCCCCCATATACATACCTAACTACTCCAAATCCACTAGATTTGAAGATGTGGAACCACCCCCATCTTTATCAAAAACTGCCCTTTTAAGCTTTAGTTTAGTGATCGTCTCTGATGGCTTTCTTTTCCTTGTCTTAGGCACTATCAAATGTCCTTCATCATCAGCCTCATTCCCATAATCAGCAACCTTATTCCATCATCAGCAACCTTATTATTTAAAACATCATCAGCAGCCTCATTCCCATCATTAAAACCTTCACTTTCACCTTCAATCACATCACCATCATCTTGATTTTCAACACCTTCACCTTCATCATTTTGAAAATCATTTACAAAGTCAACTTCACCTTCATCAACATCAGGCTCATCCTCATTTAAGTCCTGATGCAAGCAATAACAAACCTATATAAAGGGAAAAAAACATATATTTAAAATTACAAGGTTTATAAATTACCATCTCAACTGGTGAAGTGTCATCAAGTTCAATTTTCAACATCCCCATGCTTTCAATTTTAGCCATGGAATATCTTGATTCAAGTAAATATGCTATTCCTTCTACACTTATCTTGATTTTGTTTGGGAGAACATCTGATGCATGTCCTTCAGTGAATTCAGGTTCTATACCACCTTCATTCACCAATGGAGCATTAGATGCATCTGATGCATTTCCAGAACCAAGAATTTGATCAATTGCATCTCCAACTTCATCAAGACTCTCTTTTAGATCTAGGGAAACCTTTACTGGAACATTAATTACTTCTTCTTTTAGAACCATAATGTCATTTTCCTCTTCTATCACCTCATTCACCAAAGGAACATCATTAACAGCAGGAGCTTGAGCAACATCATTTGGAATATCATTAACAACTGGAACTTGGTTATTGACCAAATGAACTTCATTAAAAACTGAGTCTGGCACCTTCAATGACACCTCAATTTCTTCTTATTCTATCACCTTGTTCACCAAAGGAACATCATTAACAGTAGGAGCTTGAGCAACATCATTTGGAATATCATTAACAACTGGAACTTGGTTGTTGAAATCATCCTGAAATTTGGTTGTTGACTTCCTAAGATTTGGCCTTCTTACATTCAATTTCTTCCTTCTAAAAATTGGAATAGTTACTTCACTTGACCGACTACCCACATATATAATGTCGCCAACTCTAAAACTTAGGCCTCTTAAACCTAATTTCCTCATTTTCTTACCGATGTTAGAACTTGAAGCATGTAGACAATCTTGTTGCCTTGCTTGTTGACTATGTTTAGTGGGTACAGTTGATGTTATAGGTGGTTGAATGGCATGTTGATTAGATCCAGCTACATCACCTTTCCTATGCCTACCATTCTTCTTTGGTGGCATAGGAATTGGTATCCTTTTTTCATTCTTGCAGCCTTTTTACTATGCCCATACTCAAGACAATTAGCACATCTTACTGTCCTTGGGGGTTTCACCCTTGAAGTGGAACTAAACTTACACTCTTTCTCACTTGCATGCCTCCTTCTCTTGGTTCTGGTCCTACCAGGCATTTTCCTACTAACAAGTGGCAAAGGCTTGTTGTATCTAGTTACAGGCCACATTTACTCTCATTCACATGACTAATGTTTGTAGAGTAGCATTCCTTGAACTTATTCATTGAAAAGTAGTCATTAATATAGTCGTTTGGAGTTTGATGGATATAATTAATGGCTATTATAGCATGGACACAAGGGATTCCAGATAAATCCCATAATCTACAAGAACAAACCCTACCATCCAAATCTACCTTGTAACTAGCACATGCTCTTCTCACTTAAAATACATTTCCTAGGCTATTAACTACTAACCAAAACCTGCATGAAGACAAAAGAGTATGTATTAGTCATTATATATCAATTATAATGACAGTTAGAAAAAAAACAATTATTTTGTGTCTTACCTAAAGTTCTTTCCAAAAAGATTCATCTTCTTAATCACTTCTGGATATATATTACCTTTCCATTTACTTCATTTATCATTCATAAAGGAAAACATATCCATGATGTATATCCTTATCTCCTCAAGCATTGTGAACAAAGGTTTTTTCCTAGCTTCTACAACCATGGAGTTGAAACACTCTAAAATACCATTCTCTACTGCCTCACAAGCAAACCCTACACTCATGTAAGCTCTGCACCATGTTTTGGGTTTTTTTGACATTAGATACTCATATGCATTAGGGCTTATAGTCTTTATTTTTTCCATGTTTCTCAAGAAGTTACCTTCAACATATCATTGCACAAGCCCAAAACAGCTTCTTCAACTCCAATCCAGAGAAAGCTTTATTAAAATTTTCATAAATGTGTCTAGCAAATTGTTTGTGCTCCACATGTGGCAAAATAACCTTAACAGATTCAAGAAAATCCTGTGAAAAAACATATTATATCAACATTTATAACCATATAGAAATACACTATGATTATAAGGGAACTTACTTTATGTTGATTAGAAATAACAACCAAATCTACACCAGTACCAAGGTCAAGATCATCCTTCAGAAGCTCCAGAAACCAGGTCCAATTATCCTTATTTTCCACATCAACAACAACCCAAGCTATTAGGAACACTTGGTTATTAGCATCTTTACCTATGGTTATGAGTAATTCACCTTTTATCTGACCCTTTAGGATTTTTAAAATAATTCTTCTCATCTGGATTGTTAGTAACACTAACTTTGCATGTAGACCCAGGGTTTGATCTCAACATCTCTTGGGCATAATCCCAAATTTTGCATAGTGTTCATTTAATTTATCCTCAATCAGTTCTTTTGCCCACTGTTATGGCCTTCTAACTTTTCCTCTAGATACCACACATCCATACCTTTGTTTGATGTCACTGATCATCTCCCTAAGTTTAACTTTGGGCTTATTTGCTATCTCAGTAACATAATGTCTTCTAATCCATTACGAGGTAACAATAGACCCAAATTTAAACACTCTAGAACAAAGATGCTCATAATTCATTGTCTTAACCTGGAAGGTTCTATTATTGTACATCTAAGTTGCATAAAGTCTAAAAGGGAATTTATTATCTTCATATCTCTTACCACATCTTGCAACAATTCTTCTATTGTCGCTCTTTTGAAAGTATATTTGGTACCCTCAATTTACTGCATAGTTTGTCACATAGAATTTCAGTTGTGCAGGTGGTTCAAACACGTCCCCTAACTTAGGTTCCATCTTATAGCACCTAGCATTTAGATCATGTATTATGTAGTTGTTCGTCACTACTTCCTCTGCATCCTCATCGTTTTGAAAATCATTACCATGGTCCACTAGATCTTTCACCTCATCAGTCATACTTGAATTTCTGATGTTCGCATCACAAAGTAGAATGTTAAGAAAATGATTCTTACATATATCAAGCCTTGATACAAACTCATGTCGTGGTTTATGATCCATGTAAATCTCGTGCAGCTCAAAATCCATCTCATTTAACCTAGAAAATGGCTCGTAAATTCCAGCAAATGGGTCACCGTAAACATCAGCTAAAGAACCCATTTCTAACTCATGCACAATCGTAAGCATTATCATGAAAAGTAAGCAATTAATGGAGGTGATTTCTCGTAAAAACCATGATCAGACCGTAATTTAGCTTCAGACAATGAGAATGCTTCACCAGATGGAGTGCTTCAGATAACGACAATGCTTCACCGGATGGAGTTTAACGTTTGAGTTCCTATTACCTACATCCGAAGAAGTAGTAGCATGGGAGGGTGACAGGTTGTGTGTATAACACCGAAAATTCTCAAAACTAAAATTTCATTTAAATTTGCTTTGATCTTAAAACACATTTTGTAAAAATCTCATTTTTGTTTAAATTACCAAAAAAACATAACTCCATAATCAAATAAATAGTAATCCAGGATCCTCTAAAACATAACTCTTTCTCTGGTGTGTAAAATCGAGTCGGTGTCGTCCCGTGATCCTGAGAAAACCTGAAACACAAATCATAAAATACTGTAAGCACGAAGCTTAGTGAGTTCCCCAAAATACCACACATAACACATACTAGCCACTCGAGGCTATAACTCTATGGGCCCTTAGGCCCTAACTCTGTGGACCCCCTCGTCCTAGCTCTATGAACCTTCCGGTTCTAACTCTGATATACACACGGCAGAAATCACATAGAAATAATGCAGTGTAACACAACACATAAATAGCATACAATAACTCTGTCACATAACTCTATTTACCACTCAAGGTAAGGTATAGTGAGAAGACTCACCTCAGATGTCTCGGTAAATCCCTGATTCGGTAGTAGTATAGTCTAGCCTCCGCCTAATCACATAAAGTAAAATAGGCTCATAAATATAACTCTCGAGACTAGACCCAACCCTCTCTTAGTACCCTCAAATGGGTAAAAGACCATTTTACCCCTCTCTTGACTCAAAGACCCCATTGTTGACCAATCCCTAAAAGTCAACAAAGTCAACGGTCAAACTTTGACCTGACTCGTCGAGTGCACTTGGGCGACTCGGCGAGTCTACACGTGTCCATTATCTCTTTAGCCTCTCATGAAACGCTGAGCCTTCCCCCTGCTCGACGGGTTACACCTGGCATGAATCGCTGGGCCACCCCGACTCAACTCATCGAGTTCAATTATGGACTCGGCGAGTTCCACCTGTAATCCTCTACCCCCTTCTGACTCACCGAGTCATTCCCCCAACTCGACAAGTTACTCACTGAGTGACTTACGGGAAACCTTAGCCCTACTCGCCGAGTCTGTTCTTAGGACTCGGCGAGTTCATGCCATGCTCGAGCTCAAATGAGTTCCTGAGGTCAGATCTGTTCCTCTAACTCATAGATTTGGCCTCCTAAAGCAATAAAAACACGTAAAGTTTGGATCTTGATGCCCATGCAAGGACCCCATGGCTCTATTTGAAGAAATGGCCTCAATATGCCATCCAAAACTCATATCTCTCCAAGACACTCAATAAAGATCAAGGATTTAAGGTCTGTGGACCTCTTTGGATCCATTTTCGAAGCCTCAACACAAGAAGGGACCAAATGCACTAACAATCATACTCTAAATGGGCTAGAAACCCTAACTCTCAAGGATTAACACCCCAAACTGAAGAAGGATCAAATATGTACCTCAAGATGAAGTCCTTAAGCTCTGAAATCCACAGATTAGCTCCCCCTTTAGCTTCCTCTTGCCTTGGTCATCTTCTTCTTGCAAAATCACCCACACAAGGATAAAAAAAAATGGCTTCCTTTCTCTCTCAAAACACTCACACACTCTGGGGTCTCTCTCTCTCTCTATCAACTGGTAGCCGCGAATGAAGGCTATAAGGGCATTTAAATAGGCCTCAAACCCCGGAAATTAGGGTTTCATTAAACAGCGCGGACTCGCCGAGTCCACTAGTCGACTCATCGAGTCCGGTCATTAACCCGAATGAAAATTCGCGACTCTACTCGGCGAGTCTAAGCATCAACTCGCCGAGTCTCTCAAAATCTCCAAAAATAATAATTAAATAATGTACCTGAAAATCCGGATGTTACAGTGTGTCTCAATGTTGACAGAGTGTACTTTGTTAACGAAGAGAAACGGAGGAGAGCGCCTTAACAATGTTACCGATTGTAAAGGAGGATGTAACCTGTTGGTAAAAGGGAACTGGTGAAAAACATTGAAATGAAAAATGATGGGCAAATGTGAGGCATCTGTGGCAAAAAAAAAATCGATTTTGGACATAAATAATTTGTTTATGTAAATTCATGGACTTTTATGACAAAAACCCAAGGCATGAAGTTGTCAGAGGTTTATTGATGCCTGAGGAGAATTTGCCAGTGGTTTATTGCTACCTAGCGTGAAAAGTTCAGACTGGATAATTTATCGGGGGTTTATTGCTACCTGTGGAGAATTTGGAGCCAAGGCATGAAGTTCTCTTGAAGGATTATCACTCATGGTGTCTCTATGAGCACGTTGTCTCTTCTGAGTAGATGATCCTAGGAGACTGGTGACTAAGTTGCGTTTGACAGTTTTGTGATAATTGTCATAATCACTCATGGCAACCATGGTTTTATCAGCTATGAGGATCTGTAAGCCTCCGATAACAAGTCGGTACCAACAAATCGGTGACCTCTTTCAAATTCAAACTATGATTTGAAACAGATTGAAAAGAAAAGTACAACAAATTCAAAACCCTAAAGCTCCTAATTTCGAGATCGTTAAACAATAAGTTAAGCAAATGAAAAATAATCACGATTCAAACACAATTGTAGCTAAATTACTGATCAAACATCACATACCAGACCAAATTAAAAATCAACAAACCCTAAACCTATCAGAATACAAGATTGATTCTCAATATTCACAATTATTTGTCCGATCTAACACAAACAAGGTTAATATTAACAGTTTTCAGCCATAGAATTGTAGGAGAGCAGAGTCGGTGCATTCAAAATCGGTCGGAGACGAAAGACCGATGAGGAACAATAACTCCATATTTGGACGACTTGATGTTGATTTTAGGGGAAACTGATAGACTTGATAAGCAAAGCATCTACGTTGGAGGTGGAGATGAAGATAAACAGTAGATGATCTCGTGTCGGAAAAGAAGTTGATAAGGGGAATTATTGAAGAAGAAACTCACGGCGCGAATGAGAGAGAGAGAGAGAGAGAGAGAGAGAGAGAGAGAGAGAGAGAGATGATATTTTAGTTTATCAGTATATTTAGGATATAATGTAATTAAATGTTTGTTTCCTGTAATACCCTGGTTTAATTTAATTAAGATACCTCTGCCATTTTAGTTTTCTACCTATTTACAAAAATACCACTTTGCATCTTGACCCTCTCTTTTTTATCTAATGCTCCACTTTTATTTCTCAGGAAACTTTAAATTCGATTTTCTTTTCGTTTTTTAGTGTTTAATTAGCATCATATGCAAGTATATGATGCAATTTGCAATTATATTGATAACTAGGTGTGAAACCCATATATTATATGGGTTGATTTAAAAAAAAAATTAAACATTAAAGTGTAACATAAAATATTTTTTAATGTAAAACTTTAAAATAAGAAATGAATAAATGTATTTATTAAAATTTAATATCATATATATAATATTCAATATTTTACATATATAAGTATATGACTTTCATTATAAAAATTGAAAAAACCAAAAATTGACAAGTGGAAAATATTTATTTCAAAAATACCACAAAATGATAAGTATCAAAACTCATGAGATTGACATGTGGCAAAAAAAAAAACTTTCATTTATTAAGGAGGATTTGTTGTGGTATAGCAGATTGGCTACCCCTAAGGGCAAAACGAAAAATGTCACAATACAAACCTAAGATGAGAAGATCAACAACTTGAACTTCAACAGATGAGTTTTCCAGTGTAAGGATGGTGTACTCCAGCAAGGAACCACAGAGGAGACATATGCAAGAAAAAAGACTCAAAACCCGGCGAAAAATAGTCAAAATATGAAGCAAAATAGGAATACACCGGGGCACCAGGGACACAGAGAAATAAATATTGAGTGAATGGATGAATAAATAAATATTGCAAGAAGTAATTAGAAATTCGTGGTTACTATCCTCAAAGTTAAATTTTGTTTCATGACCTATCATAAAAACCTATGCCTGAATACCCATAACATATATGTTAAAAATCAAGTTTTTTCTTATATATTCGGATAATCCTCTCATAAATTAGGTCCCCCTGGCAATTAGCATTCTGGCAATAGGACATAGCTGTATTTACAAAACCGTGCCATATGATTAAAAGATCCGGTTGTATAATTGAGTTCGGGTTCTTTAACATGATCATGTAGACCGGTTCCTTACTTTAAACCTGGTCATATAGCTCTCCCTTCCATGAAACCCGGTTTCTACTTAATATAACCCTTTTTTTTTAATAACCGGGTCTTTTATAGCGGGTCCTATGTAGTCTTTTGTAGTAGTGTTATATACAAATCATTCTCCCTCAATACTCAAAATATTTTATGGTATCATCTTCAGGACATCTATTCTCCTCCCTTTGCAATTTGTTACTCGATGTATGTTGCAGTGTAATCACAACCATAAGTTCAGATGTTTTTCTAAGTTTTCCATATAATATTGATAGAATACTTTGAATTATCTTGGATCATAAATGCTTTATATTCATCATTTTCCTCATGCCAAAATTCTGAGCAATCTGTTGCAACTTTGGTTGTTTGCACGGGATCATCTTTACTTTTTCTAGGAACGAGCTCAACTGCAAACGAAGTCCAATTCCTCTTTATGGAAAATGAAATAATACTGTATGATGAATTCAATGATGTGGTTTGCCTCAATGAACTAAAGGAAACATATCCCACAGATGTCTTCACTTCTCCATCAGATTCAGGCTCTGGTGTTTCATTAGACTCATGCCAAATCTCAAACCGAGAATCTTCTTCATCTGGATCCTTCTTGATGCTTATGTCAATCTCCATATTTGTGTCCTGGAATATAATGCGTATTAAGAACCCACAAAAGTCATTGCACCAATCATCTGGAAGCCGCAGTCTAAACTTTTCTTCACCAGATTGAATATGCCTTTTATATGGGTCCCATTTAACATGTGGGAGACGCTTTGTAAATGTTTTTCCCCTAAGGAGCCTCCCTACAAACCCCTTTGGAATCTGATATGGAATGGTGAAACTGATAAAATGATCTTCAATAGCATTCCCCTGCCATGGAAAACACATTCATTGGGTTAATTAATATGATAAAGAACAAAATTCAAAAGGTACGTAGAGTATAAAGCCAAACCTGGAGCATGGAGTGTAGTAATATCTCACCAACATGCGGACCTAATTTGTAAGCCCCCCAAAGTGAGACTTTCCACAACCATTTACAGTTTGAGATACCTCCAAAGCTTTCAAGCGAGTCACAACAATCTGCTCTAACAATAGCTATACTTTGTGGCAGCTCCGACAATTCTACAAGTTCTTTGCAGAATGACACGTCGAGCCATTTGAGCCGAGGAAATTGCAAGCAACTAAAACTTAACTGTGAAAACTTATTTCTGAATAGATTGAGTTCTTGCAAGTTGGGCAACTCCAAAACATCAGAGCCTATATCTTCATCTCCCAAATTGCACTCGCTCAGATCCAACTTCCTTAAGAAGTGGAGTTCTTGCAAATTGTGAAACAAAACTAAGAATATGTTGTGACATAAACAAGGCCCCTCTACACAACATTCTACACCAGGAAGATGTCTGCAACCACACCTCAAACAACTAACAGCATAGTTTGTACTAGATTCTATGTAGGGTGCAACTTCGCTCCCACTATTATCATCCAAATCAAGATGTGTTGAATTCTCCATCCTCTGATGGTGGATCTTTGGAAACTTAACAAGTTTGGGGTGCTCTGTGAATTCAAGGGTCTCAAGTTTCTTTATTCCCCTAATGGGTGGAAATATCTCAAGACTCCGACAATTTTCTATAGATAAGAAAACAAGCTTTTCCAAGCATCCAATCGATGGATGAATTTCTTCTAAACACAGACAGCCACGAAGAATGAATCTTTCAAGATTTGGAAGTCCGTTAAAATTTGGTGTCATGATTAGCTTATTCATATTGCTAAGTTCCAATAACTTCAAACTTGGGAGCACCTGTTGAGTACAAGTGCAAACAAGTCAAAAATGTATAAAGGTGACAAGATTTGAAGGAAAATGGCACACACACAGACAGACACAAACACACTCAGACAAACACAAATGGAAATCATCTGAAGTTTTCAATTGTTTAATAAAGTATCTATAAATCACTTGAGAAAAACAAAGATAATAAAATATCTTTAAAGGACATTCACAGAATAAAGGTCCATGCTTTTCAACACAAATTGACGAACAATACAAATTACCTTACAGCCCTCCCAAAGTTGCTTTTGAGAACCTGAGGACAATATAAGACAGCAAAGCTCCCTTAGTGGAAGGTCATTAAACAATAGTTTTGCAGGATCCCCTATCGATTTCATATACCGAAGGTTCTTCATGTTTGCCGAAACCGAAGGAAGATCTTGTTCTTGTTTTTTTGCTGGCTGAAACTGAAAATCCATTTCTATTGCTTCAATCTTGTCAAGTTCCTGTGATAGAGCAGAGGAACAAAATAGTGTCAGGAATCAGGATGGATTCAAAAGTGATTGTTTATACAGGCATAATATTAATATATCATGCAAAGCTAGCTTAAACATTACCGTGGTTGCATCCATAGAACATATTTTAAAAACATCTTCCTCCTTCCAAATCCTACTATGTTTTTCAGGGTTCTTACGGTGTTCCCCTCTAACAATATAGTGTCCCATTTCTTGCACCAGATCATGCATATCAAAATATCCATCTTCTGAAATAGTTATGAGAGCCTTTTGTATTAACACCTTTACTCCTATAACTGGATGAAAACCACAAGCATCAAAGATCCGCATTGCGTTGTATTTATACTCCCCCCTAAAGAAACATGCAATATCAAGGAACAACTCTCTCTCAACCTTTGCGAGTCCATCAAAGCTGATTTTTAGCTTTTCCAGAATTTCAGTATCTGGGATCTCTTTCAATCTGGCTAATGCACTCCTCCACTCATGAATATTTTTGTCACACAGAAATGAACCGAGAACTGTAAGTGCTAATGGAATCCCACCGGCATAAGAGACCACCTCTTTTGAAAGCTGCTCATAATTTTCCATGGGTGTGTGATCTCGGTGTGCATGCTTGAGAAAGAGCTTAATAGCCTCATCACTGTTTAACAATCTAATACTGTGTGTCACATTTACTCTGTGTGCATTTAATACATGCTCATCTCTAGTTGTGATTATTACTCGGCTTCCTTCACCAAACCACTCATGTGATCCAGCTAATGCTTTTAGTTGGTTAAGCTGATCCACATCATCAAGAACAATCAAGACCTTTCTATGACATAACCTATTTTGAATCATGCGCCTTCCTTCCTCAACTCTCTCTATTCCCTGAACTTCCTTTTGTTTCAAAACACCAGAAATAATTTTTCTTTGCAAGCTTACCAAACCATTAATCTTGCTTGATTCCTCCCGGATATTTTGCACAAAGCAACAACCATCGAACTTGCTAGAGATTTCATCATAAATAGAAGAAGCAAGAGTAGTCTTACCACCACCCCCAACCCCCCATATTCCAATCATGAGCACACCACCTGACCCAATTTGTAACTCTAATTTCAAACGTTGCATGCGAGCTGCCATTCCGATCAGGTCCTCATTTGCACTTGAAGGTACTAACTGCAACCTCTGTGAAATTGTGTCAACAATTTCTTTGATAACCCTTGATTCATGCCTACACATTGGATATGCAAGGATTATTAACACATACTCAAAAAAGCAATTTGTTTCATGCTCCATGAAAGTTCAGATTCAAAATAGGACTTGTAAGGTTAACATCACAAGTATATGTAATAATATTCTTGGGAAATAGTACATTGAATAGTTTCAAACAGCAACAAACAAAGCAAGATGGATTTCTTTGTTGTAGCTTGAAGCGGGGCGTTAAATAAGAAAATCAGAATTAGAAGTCAATGAAAACCATCATAACTTAAATTAAGCCTATACATAACTGATCAATTGATCTACACGGCCATCGACATCATCAAGAATAATTATATTTGTATAAAAAGCTAACAAGGTACAAGTGTAAATGAGTTGTAGAGAATGCATTATCTATATAGGCATAAAAAGTGCAAAAACAAAAAAGAACATTACCCGTTGGCAACGTGCTTGGGTTCCCATCCAGAAATGTTACTTGCATCCACAAGTGCTTTTCTCCAAGATTCAACTTTCCTCTTGTTCTCCAACTCATGTTTGGCAAAGGCTTCTTGGTATTTCTGGATTTGTTCTAGAGGTGCAGAGAGCAATCCCCAAGGGTCCTCCACAACTGCTTGTCCCCAAGATTTAACTTTCTTCTTGTTCTCCAACTCATGCTTGGCAAATGCTTCTCCATATTTTTGTTTTTGTTTTCGTACTTCAGAGGGATCTACGCCATAGAATATGGGCATAACGACTGTGCCTTTCATATCCTTGCATTTCATAATACATGCGAGTTCATCTAAGCACCATGAAGAGTCTGCATAGTTCTCTGAGAATATGATGACAGCAATCTGAGATTCTTCTATAGCTTTCATAAGGGATGGGCCGATCGATTCGCCCCGAGAAAGTGTTTCGTCATCCTTGTAGGTGTAGATCCCATGTTGTTCAAGAGCCGAATAGAGATGATCAACAAAATTTCTGCGAGTATCTTCTCCTCTAAAGCTAAGAAAAACATGGTACTTCCACAAATGAGAAGAAAAGGCCGGAACTGAGGGAGATGATGAAGAAGATGCCATCAATGTGTTGATTTGTTGAGATAGATGCAAGTGGTACGAGAACTTCAATGAAAATAACTTTATACAAAGAGATTCGAGTTTCCAGTAAAACCTGTTATTAATTATGTAGGAAAACCATGCACAACTCATAAGTGAGATAATAGGTTACCATGTAGAACTCCTTTGAAAGTATAATACAACCAAGTCATAAAAAACCACAACGTAACCCTCGAGGCGGAATAAAAAATAATTATAAAATATAATATACTTCATAAAAAAACAATATACAAATCCAAATCAAAGTTAAAAAGTCCTAAATAATGTCTATCACCCTAATAATTAAAAATATTGTTAGTCTTAAATTCATTAAAATAACACAAATATTATCAGGTCAAATTTAGTTTCAACTCTCAAGTAAAAATCAAGTAAAAAGTTACTTTTAAGCTTTTTTCACTATGTTTTTCCGTTAAGAAAAAAAAAGTCACTAAGCCAAAAAAGAATTATATATATATATATATATATATATATATATATATATATATATATATATATATATATATATATAAAAGGTACATAATCTATGTGTACCACTCAAGGAAAATCGTCCCATTGGATTTTCTTTTTGTATCCACAACACAGACACACCATTAGACTCATTTTTATCCAAATTCCATTCGTTTCTAACATACAAAACAGGTATTCACTTCAAAAAATGGTTAATTTGATCTTCTAACGACACTATTTCAAAAACTTCACAGCTTTGATTAGATTAAGTCAAAATATGTTGATCTGACATTTCTTAAAATAACTTATATAAAACTTCATTAATTAGCACTTTCGTTTCTTTCTTGGTAACTATACATAATTCATCAGTTTAACAGTTAGAGGAACATACCACAGATTCCCAGCAACACCAAACTCAAGCGCACCCTTTAAATGACGGACAAGAAATCAAGGGATGCCACGGATACGTTAATTTGCTGAGAATTGAGACAGTATGTATGTGGTTCGAGCACCCCTAAATGAAATGAACTATTTAAAGAGAAAAAGATAAATAATTTCCAAGAAATTTCTTATCATGTGATATTTTCTATAAATTGAGTTGTTTTTTCATTGAAAGTGTTGAGATAAAGTATATGTAGTCTGAGCCTCCTTAGGAGTTTCTTATCAATTAATTTCTCGATACAACTTGAGTTGTTTTCCCACTGTTGATGTCATCATCATAATCAATGACTTTTCAGGGCAGATTGATTTAATCAATGATATGGTACAAGTTGTTGCCATTTGAATTTTCATCATCCACATCATCTGTCATGTGTACAAAACCGATGATGTGAAATTTTCTAATATTCAAATAATTTTAAATTACTTATTATTACTATTATTAATATCAATACAGAAGCTAAATACTTATTTATCAAAGAACCTTTTTTCATGATTTAAGAAATACTATTGGTTTTCATACAAAACATTTGTAACAAAGTTTCAGGTTAGGACCAAAACATGCAATACGACCTTCTAACAAGTTGCTTTTTATTTTTGTCTCCGAAATGCTTACATGGACAATCTACTAATACTTGTATAAAAAATATCCAGACGACTTCTGTGTGTGGGAAGAGAGTCCAATAGACTTGTACCTCATGCAATAGCAGATTGTACCCCCTGAAATCGTCTCTTATTGTCGACCCACCATTGTTCTTCAGATGAAGAGTTTTCTAAACCATATGATTGTTGGTATATAAAACTAGCCTTGTTCATCCAGACATATTTTTGCAATCTGAACTCACATGCCAAAACACCCATTTACTATTACTCCGCCATTATTGTTGATGTTAAGATGTACCCAAAATCGTAACAGTGATACCGATATAGAAACCCAACAACCTGCCTAACTGAAACCAAAATCTTAACCCCAAATATAATCCAAAAACTTGACTCAATCAAAACAAAACCTGAACCATTTGTCTACTTTATGTGTTAAAAAAAAAAAAAAAAAACTAAACGGATACCTTTACTTGAATGCTAACAATGATAGGAACTTGATTCTGCATTAGGTTGAACTGAATCCGGAAGGCACTGAACCTTTGTATTTGATTGTCGATTAGGTCAACTCCAGGATTTTCATTGTGCGGTTGCAGGGGACAGCGAAGAGGTATGCCAATTTCCTTTTTTATTAGTGATTGTTTATAGAAAAGAAAGGAGTAGTCTTTTAATGCTTCCACAAGGACCACAACGAACCACTCACCGCCACTATCTTCATTGATGATCTGCGCGGAGCCCTACTCATCTTTTTTTTTTTTAAACCTTTTTATCTTAGCGATGAAGACAGTGATGGTCGTCGAAAAAAAAAAAAAAAAAGTAATAAATAAATAAAATAAAAATCGAGTTGTAGCAGAAAAACCCCATCTTGATTTGGGAAGGAGACTGAGAAGGGTCGTCGGGGAGCAGGCAAAAAAACGACTCAGGAGTGGAGTCGGCGGTTGGAGCTGAGGGGAAAGGTCAGGTGGGGTCTCCGATCGGACCCCATCGATTAAACGTCCATCTACTTCTATTAGTAATAAATAACAACAATATAATAATATAAAATATACAAAATCGGTTGATCTCTCATTCGAAATTTTGCTTACAAGGTGTCTAACTAAGAACCTTGAACCTATTTGTTTCCTTCTTAATTGCAAAATTAAAAGATAATGTTTTAAAATTTCAGATTCAGAACGTTTGTTTATGTATTATTTTTTACCTCTTAATATTAAAAATGCCTCTTATTTTTTAGATATTAAACAAAGTCTAAAATATAAAAAAAGAGACGCACGTTCTATTTGCCCTAAACAATTCGACCGCCTCCTCTTCTTTCTTCCCTTCGCATCTGCTTGCTTCACATCTTCTTCTCCTCAGTTTCCGACGACGCCAGTGACGCTGCTAGGCCTGTCAAATCGGACCGTCGTGTCGTGTTTTTGTCTGACACAACACGACACGACAAAGTTTTTTGTAACACGAACACGACACGACACGATGTCGTGTTTCTTTTCACTAACACGAAAACGAAACAATTAAAAAACGACAACACGACACGACACGACAAAGATAATATTACATAACTATTATTTTATTTAATTCATATTTAATCATATATAACACGATAAAAACGACAAACACGAAAACACGACAAATACATGCTCAATCGTGTTAATTTCATGTGGATTTGTAAACACGAACACGACACGAATACGAATTCGAATTTTGATTTCGTCCCGATTTCGTTTCGTGTCGTGTATTTTTGTCGTGTCGTGTCATAAATTGACACTCCTAGACGCTGCCTTCCTCCGTCGCCGCAATCGTCGACGACGCTGCACCCAGTAATGTCGTCTTCCTCCGCCGCAACAAGGTCTTCCGTCTCCATCTCATTCTTCAGCCGACCGCAACAGGTATTCTTCTGTTTCTTCCAGTTGTAACCTATTATGTTGTTGATGTTTGTCTTGAAACCGAAGAAGGAGCCCACCATGGTGGTTGTCGCCATTTCTAATTTTTCTGCCACCTTCTGCCGCCACAAGCCACCGTGTTGGGTGGCAGTGTGCATTTGCTTGTGATTGGATCGTTTTTGGGATGCACGGACATGTTTGGACTAGAATCATAACCACCACGAGGTGGTGGTCGTCATTGTGAGCCGTCATTAACCACCACTACCCGAGGTGGTAGTAGGTAGTGCCCGAGATAGCTAACTTATTATTGACCTAGTGAAACCCTAATTTGACCCAAAACTTCACAAGTGGACTAACTGGAATGTTATTGGGGTGGAAACCCTAATTAGGGTTTGGAAAACCCTAATTTTGGAAATGTGAGATTTGGAATTGACCGGGACCCGTATTGGAATTATTTACTAGACTTAAAATATTAATTAATGATTCTTTGCAATTAACTTAAGGCAATATTGGACTTAATGGATTAAGTCCTTAATGGGTTAAGTAGGAACACTTAACCCTAATCGTCATTTTATGTGAAAAAACCCTAATTGGCTTTGGGTTCTTATTAGGCTACTACTTGGACTGACTTGTTGTGGGCCTTCGTGGGCCAAATAGGGAACATGCTTATGGACTAAGGAAATCATTGGGACTTAGGATAAAGTCCATTGGAAAGGCTTGGACCTAATTTGGAAAATTGGGCCATAAGAGGGCCATAATTGGGCCTTGATGATTATGAGATACTGGGCCATCAGAATGCCTAGTGTTTGGACCAAAATAAATGGTTGGGCCTTAAGATAAGCCCATGTAGAGGTTTGGGCCCAATTTAGAAAATTGGGCCACATGTTGGGCTTTGATTCCTAGTTTGACTTTTGGGCATTTGGATTGGGCCTTGGGCTTGAATCAAGCTAAGATGGGGTAAAGTAGTCTTTTAGTCCAAGGACTTATGGTTATGCATTGGAACCTAATCATTCATTGGATGTTGTTTTGATGATTGACATTTTGGGGATCTGTCAGCCAGCAGCCAGAGATTTATTTGCAGGACTTCATCAGTGTGAGGTGAGTCTCATCACCTTACCAATAGTTCGAAGGCACCAAAGTCGGCCCATTTTGTATTATGTGGTACACTAGTTGATGTAGTGATATGTGGTATGCCAGTTGGTTATATGTTATATGTTATGCTGGTTTTTATGTGATATTTGCATGAAAGACCATGGGGGAGCCCATGAAACTTGGATGTAAAACCATGTGGGGGGAGCCCATGGCTTTTCAGGAAAAGACCATGGGCAAGCCCATAACACTTGGATCTAAGACCATGTGGGGGAGCTCATGGATTTACAGGTAAAGAATATGGGGGGAGCCCATGACACATAGGTGTAAGACCATGTGGGGGAGCCCATGGCATCTTGGAGTAAGACCTTGGGAAGAGCCCACGACATCCTTATATGTTTATGTGCACTGTTTACGTGGTATGTGGAATAGTAATTGCTTATGTGTTATGTGGTATACTAAATATTTATGTGATGTGTGATATGCTACTTGTCTTTGTGATACTTGCATGAAAGACCATGGGGGGGAGTCCATGGCGCTTGGATGTCAGACCATGTGAGGGAGCCCATGGCTTTCCAAGTAAAGACCATGGGGGAGCCCATGACACTTAGGTGTAAGACCATGTGGAGGAGCCCATGACATCTTTGAGTAAGACCCGGGGAGGAGCCCACGACATCCTTATATGCTTATGTGATTGATATGCCTTATATGATGGATATCGCCTATGTGATTGCTATGGTTTATGTGGATTATGTGGGGTATGCTCTGGCGAACTCACTAAGCTTCGTGCTTAAAAGTTTTGTTATTGTTTCATGTATCATCGGTTTGGAAATGAAGGGTTCGGCTTGATCACGGTGCACACACCCTTGTTCTGCAATTTATGATTTTGGGACAAACTCTGATAAATATTTTAATTAACCATGTTTTTGGAATGTTTGGATTTAGAAGATATCTGTGTTTTGACTATAATGAAAATAAAATTTTTACCCTTGATTTTTGGGTCATTGCATTTGGGTTTGCAAGGCTTTTGTCCATTGTGAGGCAAATGATAAGCCTGAGCCTAGATCAATGAGGTGTTACTTCATTAGCTATCTAAAAAATTCTTTTGGATACTTGTTCTAGAAAGCTTCTGAGAACAAGGTGTTTATTGGTCAAAGGGGATTTTTGCTCGAGAGGGATCTTATTTCCAAAGAGGACAGTGGGAGTCATATTGACCTTGAAGAGCTTCAAGAGTCAAGTGAAGAAGAACCTTTAGTAGACACTAGCACTCAACCTAAGGTGGAACATCCTATTAAGGAACCTCAACCTAAAGTAGAGAAACCTCTTCAAAGGTCCATATATGGACTAAAACAAGCGTCCATATATGGACTAAAACAAGCATCTCGTAATTGGAACCTTTACTTTCCAAATAGATTGTGTAAGCTTAAAAGGTCCATATATGGACTAAAATATCCAAATAGAGTGTGTAAGCTTAAAAGGTCCATATATGGACTAAAACAAGCGCCTCATAATTAGAACCTTTACTTTCACGAAAAGGTTAAAGAGTTAAGATTTTCAAGAAGTGAATGTGAGTCATGCGTATATACAAAGCTAGTGAGAGTATTTGTTTTCCTAGTATTGTATGTAGATGACATCCTCCTTATAGGAAACGATATCCTGACATTGCAAGGTGTGAAGGCGTGGCTTGGGAGTTGTTTTGCTATGAAGGATCTAGGAGAGGTTGCATACATAACTGGTATAATGATCTATAGAGGTAGATCGAAGCATTGGATAGGACTGAGCCAAAGTACATACCTGGATAAGATCTTGAAGAGGTTCAAGATGCAATATTTCAAGAAAGGTTTTCTACATATGCAACATGGCATCAAATTGAGTAAAACTCAATGTTCTAGTTCTAGTGATGAACAAGATAGAATGAGTCGAGTCCCATATGCTTCTTCTATAGGATTGATCATGTATGCCATGACATGTACTCGACCTGATGTCTCATTTACTCTAAGCATGGTGATTCGTTTTTAGAATAATCCAGACGACAATCATTAGACAGTAGTAAAGAACATTCTAAATACCTAAGAAGAATAAAAGATATGTTCTTGGTATATAAGGGTAAGGATGAGTCAGGATGGATATTCCTGCTTGATGGCGGAGCAGTCAGGATGGATATTCCTGCTTGATGGCGGAGCAGTCACTTGGAAGCGTTCCAAGCAGTCGACGGTGGCAAACTTTACGTGTGAGTAAGAGTATATAGCAACAAGTGAGGCTACGAAACAAGCTACATGGTTGAAGAATTTCATTAATGATCTTGGTTGTGTTCTGAGAATCAAGGATCCTTTGGAAATCTTCTGTGACAACGAGGGTGCAATCTCATTGTCTAAAGAACAAGGACCATGGTGACTCAAGACATATACTAAGGAAATTCGACTACGTAAGACATCGAGTCGAGGATGGAGATATTTTCGTAAGCATAGTAACCTCAGAAGAGAGTCCAACCGATCCGTTCACAAAGCATTATCAAGGATCAATCATGATAGTCATATTAGATCTACAGGCATTAGATTTGCTGATGATATGATGTAATTGCTTAGTTGTTTAGTTTGATAACTTTCAAACATTTGGCAGTATGAATTGTAACTAAATTGATGTTTATTTTGTGGAGACTTAATAATGTGCTCATGTTATCGTTTTTGTTAATTTATTATCGTGTTTCACTTTTGCATGTTTAGAACCTACTTCTAGAGTATTAATTTACTCAAACCTCCACAATCGGTCATACACTTGGAAGTAAGTAGTGATTCAAGATTGTCATGAGTATTGCTGGATTGACTAGGATGATTGGGCATATCATAGTGATTGCGCCAACACTCATCAGTACTTAATGGATATTTAAGTATTAGAACAACCTGCACTTAGAGATTACTTCATGGATATAGTCATGAGTAATTCTAAGATGATAATATCTTTTGTTCTTCATACCGAGATACATGTGGGTTTTTCTCTATGATTTTTTTGTGAATTGGTATACTCCAACACTATATGTAAATGGTATCTATAATGGGTATATACATGTATGACATGATGAAATAGACAAAAAATATGTATTCAAAGTTTATTCGTCCCTTCTACCTTAACAGGAGAAGCAACATCAATGGGCCCCTCGATGATTTGGTGCTGACATCATAAATATCTGGTTGGGTCCTGACTAAAATTGATGTGTTCAATTTAGTGGTTGGATGCAGTTTTCACAAGTCTCTATCGGGAAACATAATCTTGAATTGTGAGATTGACCATTATCCATGTCTCAAATTCATACAGATATCATGAGGATGAAGGAACAAATTATCACTTATCTGAGGGCTGAAACTGACTAGATCAGAGTTTGGCAGATGCATTCGTTGACATTCACTCTGTTGATTATTAGAGAAGTATTGGACCATTTATAGTTGATGACATGTCCAAGTGGGAGATTGTTGGAAGAGTGTCTAAGATCATTAACTATTGTTGGTATTTCTAATAATAATAGGTTCCTCTTGGGTAGCCCTCAAGACTCAAATTAAGTAGAATAAATAAAGGAGGAATTCATTTATTATTTATCATGGTTGAATAATTAATTAGAAACTAACCGAGAATTAATTAACAATTTAATCAATATAAGGGTTGAGTATCAGTTTATCAATAGTTGATTAATCAGGAAGATTCCTGAACCCTAGAAAGAAGGGTGGTGGACAAAAATTACCTTAGGATAAGGGAAATTTCATTCATAGGGCTATCATATCCCACATGGGCTTGAGGATAAAACCCTTGGAGGTATCCAAGGCTACAATAGGGCCTTAGGGATTCATTCCTTCTTGCTCATTCTTGACTTGATATTTCGCCACTTCTTTCTCCATCCTTGTAGAAGAAGACACCTTATAGTTCATCCCCTCCTAGTTATTTTTTATTATACTCTTTTAAGTTCATTGGGTGTGAACCAAGAGATGGATTCCGGTTTGGGTCCTGATCATTCAAACAAGGTGGCACACACAAGAGTTTAAGCGTGAAGGTCTTTGGCTGCAAAAGAGGTATGTGTTCT